TAGAACCTAGCTCTCGGGTGTTACACACTAACTTAACATTTTTAGGCAGCCTGGGGTGTGACGCTGGCTAGGCGGGTAGCGCCTGTCAGTCAGGTGCTGCACAATGTAATGTGACGCCTAACTGTCGGGCGCTACACAAAAAGGTCGGCTGGATGATTTTTTTCGTCAATGATTCATTTTGTGATGTTGTTTCATCCACAGGTCATTGTCATTTTTTCCCTTTCAAACGTGTCACGAAACTTTCGAAACTAAATATCTTCTCCCCACCCTGATTCTCCATTGGGGTGGGCTCCTCCACCCCCACTTGCAATCCTACTCGTCCAAGACCTGCTGAAGTTGCTGAAGCCCGAGACCTGCTGGCTGCTCATGCAGTCATGCTGCTGTTGCTGCTCATGCTGGGCAAATTTGACCATTTTGACCTATGGACGAAATCAATTCACGGAATGAACTGACCGTAAAACTATTTCACAGTCCTAACCTTTTTGTGTAGCGCCCGCCACGACAGCGCCACACCCTACTGTGCAGCGCCTAACACCGGGGCGTTGCACACCAGTCCACCGTGGCAACCTCTGGGCCCGCACCCAGCAGTGCAACGCCTCCGTGCTAGGCGCCGCACATGTAATGTGCAGCGCCTAGCGCTCGGGCGCCACACGTGTAAAGTGCAGCGCCTAGCGCATAGGCGCTGCACTGTGACTTATCCAGCCACTCGGCTGCCCCCCCTCCCCACCCCACACCACACACTCTCCCACTCTCCTCCCCGAGCTTTGCCCCCTCTCCCACTCTCTCCCCCACTCAAATCCTCTCCCAAATCTTGCAAATTTGAAGAATTTGTCCGTGGATTTCGAAGTCAAACCCTCCCTCAAGGTAATATTCTCCATTCCCCTTGTTTTGATCCAAGTAAAGTTCCCATTGCTCATTTGTTGCTTGTTTGGGGAAACCCTAGTTTAGTTTGGATCTAGAGATTTGCATGGAAATGTGAGATGTTTGTTTGCCAATTTCTATGGTTAGGCTTTGTTAGTATGCTAGGGTTATTCTTATGGGTGTTCTTATGTTGGTGCTAGGGTTAGGTTTAGGGCTAGGGTTATGGTTATGATTATGGTTATGGTTATGGTTAGGGTTAGGGTTAGGGTTAGGGTTGTTGTTTGATATATATATTAGGGTTTCTATTCCGTGTTAATCCTTGTATTAGTACTCATGGAAGCAATGTTACCTTATGTTATTGGAATGCTTATAGGGATGGGAAGAACATGTGTGTTTGTTCATCATGGGGACAAGGACGCCTTTTTGAAAGGCAATGTAGAACCGGACCCGGATGAGGTTGACATGGTGTTTGATAGTAGTCCTAGCTATGCGGAGCTCTTGCAACAAGTTAGGGAAGATTTGAATTGGACGGACCCTAGTGATATCATAGAGTTGGAGGGAAGGCATAATGTTGGTTTTGGAATGCACATCCGTTGGAAGACAATGCGTGTCAACTCGGAGCAACGTTGGGTTGCATACAAGGAGACGGTGGACGAATCACTAGACAATTCTCTTGAGTTATTTGCAACGAAGAAGGTTGATTCAAGTTTGCATTTGGACTTGAACCGGAACCCCTGCCCTTTGGTTGCTAGTAGCCCCACACCCTTGAAGCGAGATGAAATTGTTGAACCTCTTTTGACCCAAGAAGTGAGGCCAACATTGAGCCCGTTTACAAACAACCAAGATGAAGCTTTGCAAGAGGCCCAATCCTTGATCTTCCGCTGCTTTTTCCTATCCAACCTGCAAGTTAGAAACATCATATTAGCATCATCGAAACCGTCGAGAAGCTGCTAATTGCTCAAGGTTGATTATATCTTACGCGTGTAGTACTATATCCGTGTCCTCAAACTCTGGCGGGTGTGGCATGAACAAACCAAACTGACGGTACACCTGATGTGGCATGTGAAGCTCAACCGCCCAGTTGCATATGAGTGGACACCGCATATGCTAGAGATCCCTATCCCTAGGTGCACATCGGATTCAGCCTGAACTCTATAGGGTTCCCAAAACTCTCTCCTTTTCCATACGGTTCCCATTCAACCTACAAAATTGGATAGAATGAAAAATTGATATCGAGTTACGATGGAAGCATGATAATAACTTATGCAATGTCAATTCACCTGCTTAGGCGTGATCGCGTCCATCTCGCTCCTGTACAGCTTGTACATGACCGAGGGATCATCCGTCATCTCATTTAACACATCCCACTTGTAAGCCCAAGTGGGAAGCCGTAGTGGGTCGTCTTTCTCGTCCCAATCCTCCAACTTCACGGTCTTCGGTCGTCCAACCGGCAAACGCTCCCAGCTCCATATGGGAAGTGCGAGCAAACAACCACCAATACCTCCAGATAGCCTACAACAGGCTTCGTCCAACTGCACATAAAAGAGAACATGGTTGAATTAACAGCAAGATCGCATTCATAATGTACCAATGAATTGAAACAGAAACAACTTCATACCTGTCTATACAAGTAAGCCAGTGTCGCCGAACCCCAACTCCATTTGCTATCGAAGACGGTCAACGCCTTGAGCCACATCCATGGAGCATTCTTGCCTATGCCATCAGGAAACATACTCCTGGATATCACGTACCACATGTAGACACGAGCATATGTCTTCACCGTGTCCTCATTAGCATCCTCAGGGCAATTACCGAAGTTCGATACAATCCACGTGAAAGTAGCACCGGCTGCGACTCTTTCCTTCTTGTTGCCTTCTACTTCTGGTTCCCGCGGCTCCGGAGGAACCATACCGATAAGGGCAAGCATTTGCTCGCGCCACCCATCAGAATGGTGGTCATACATAGAGGTTTCCCATCGATAGGAAGACCGGTGATCATAGCTATATCCTGGAGCATCAAGGTCATCTCCCCGGTCCGAAGATGGAAAGTGTGTGTCTCTGGCCTCCAATGATCAATAAGCGCGGTGAGTGCTGGAGCATTGTTGGGTGGCGTCGACCTGCTGACCAACTGAATGAAAGGGAGAAGTCCTGTCTCCCTAACATATGGCGTGTACGGCTCATCATAGCGCATCCACTCAAGGTTGACCCCGTGAGCCCGAAGCTTCAGAGGTGCAAGCTCCTACAAGCAAACAAACAAATCATTACATATGGGGGGTATGTGTTTGAAAAAAAACACGAAATTCATAACACCGGCAACTTTCATTATTACCTGCTGCTTTACCGACATAGCGTACGACTGGTGTTGTAGATCCCAATGATCATTGAGAAGCCAAACCATCCTAGCAATTTGCAAGAAAGCTTTTTTGTCAACACGATTATCTTTTGAATAAAAAAAACTAAAGTACAGCTACTACATGCAAATTTCAAAGCATATGTATCCAAACCATTCTTGCCAATACAAATGTGATTTCAATAAACTAAACTAAGCCTACTTCATGCAAGGTTCAATACAAATATCTTTTCCATATAAATAAAATGTCAACCTATGTATCCAAACTATATAAATAACATGTCAACCTATGTATCCAAACCACATTCTAATCTAACAAGGGTTCCCCAAATCTAATACATGCAAGATTCAAACAAAAGTTCCCCAAATCTAATACATGCAATATTCAAACAAGGGTTCCTCAAATCTCCGAAATAGCATACATTCTATGGATAGAAAGAAGGGATCGGAGAAAAGTACCTTCTAGGATGGATTGGTGAAGGAATCCACGGGCCAAATCGTCAGATCTGAAGGATTTTGGAGAGGGGATTGAGAGGGGGAGAGGAGAGGGCCGTCGCCGCCGCTGTTCTGTAACTGGTAATGGGGTGGGTTGGGGACGGCTAGTGCGCGCGACTGCATCTAAGTCACAGTGCAGCGACCGAGCGCTAGGCACTGCACATTACATGTGCGGCGCCTAGCACGGAGGCGTTGCACTGCTGGGTGCGGGCACAGGGGCTGCCACGGTGGACTGGTGTGCAACGCCCCGATGTTACGCACTGCACAGTAGGGTGTGGCGCCGTCGTGGCGTGCGCTACACAAAAAGGTTAGGACTGTGAAATAGTTTCACGGTCAGTTCATTCCGTGAATTGATTTCGTCCATAGGTCAAAATGGTCAAATTTGCCTCATGCTGGGCTGCCTCCTCCCCGCAGACGACTCCATGGTGGAACAGAGGAGATGGATCCTTCACATGGATGATGGGAAATTATGGAGCAATGATTTCGACGGTGGTCAGACTGCGTCGGAGGTTGCAGGGTCAACCCGCGTGCTGGCTGGCTGGTGCTTAATCCAAGCAACAACTGGTGATTTGTTTGACCTGAGCCGTGGCAATATTTTGTTTTCAGGAATGTTATCGTGGTTGAAACTTTTATTTTTCGTTGTTTTTTTTTTCTTTGCTGGTTGTTATTCATCGAATGTTTGCTCACACATGTCATTGCTTGGTTGGTGCAAAGACTAAGGACCGGTTGGGAGAAAATTAGATTGCCAATCATCTATGTGCTAATCATCTATGTGCGGTTGGGAGAAAATTAGTTGGAATGTAATGGGAATTTAATGACCGGTTTAAGGATATGAACGTAGACACATATATGACGGTGAACTCTGTCCCGTGAACACTTCGTACGTACTCCATATTGATGCAGTTTATATTTTGGTACAGAGGTAGTACAAGATTATATATATGGTGATTCAAACAGGATTAAGGAATTTGACTTTTCATGAGGCAAATGAGAAACCTCGGTAGGATCTTGACAGTTTCTCTATGCAAGTAGCAGCCATGGAAGACAGGCCATCAGGCTTCGAAAAAACCAAAATACATGCCTATCTATTTCGGCAATGCAAAATGAAAATAAGATTGACAAAGTGTTCACCGAATCATAACCATATATACATTATTCTCTTGAAAAAAAAGCAGCTATCCAACATGTCATAACATCCGACACCACACATACCAATGCTCATGGTAGAATTAACATCAATTCAAAAGATCATAAGACAACACATGAGTTGAAGTTATTCTCTGCTTCAGTAACTACTACCCCTCTGTTTGCATATGCAAAGTACTAGTACTTTGCTTATTGGGATTAATTTTGCACCTTTTCAAGTGAGATATCAATGAGGATGTACCGTTTTTTGATTCACAGCAATAGTTTTCACCACAGTAGTCGCACTTAGCCTTGACAGTATCTCCAACCATGACCTTTGTAAAGCTTTTCCACACGGTTGATCTTGGTGCCATCGGTTTTCTTTTATTCGCCTTCTTGTTCTTCTGAAGATCAAACGAGTTGGGCTTCACCGTGTCGTCCTCCACCTCCTTGTCTGTAACCGTGCGTAGTGTTCGGCAAACATTTTGCATGGTTCCCGACAAGGAGTCCAACACTGCCTTCTGCTCCTCGAGTGCTCCACAGTCCGTCGGCAGGAAGAACTCCAGCACGAAGTCCGCCGTCCCAGTGCGTGTGCATCTTAACCGGATCGCCACTGCACCTTTTAAATTGAAGATCTTAGCATGGTGAGATAATGGGTAATCCAGTTTAGCTGAAGATCCAATGTCTGGTAGGAAGCACGGCTGGTTTGTGGTGAAGGCTTTCCCTGCAACCCCTTGCTTGCGCAGAAGGTGGTGATCGGAGCAGGAATCATGGAAATTCTGCATCTGAGGGTCGTTCACGTAGCAAGCTGCGTCAATGGTAGAGATGCAGTGCTGGTAGTTCTCATCTGAGTGGCGACTGGCCCGTTTCCATTGTTGAGCACAGGTGGCCCATGTTTGTGCTAATGGTAGATTGTGGGTGACGCAGGCGGCCCTTAAGACTTCCAATATCTCCGGTAGAGCGTCTTTGTATGAGGCACTATTGAACTGCATGATGATCAACAAGAGCAGACACATAATGAGAAAATATAAGTACCATTTTCTGCTGTTATTATATACGTGTCACATCAGATCTGTGGCACAGAGGACAATGAAAGACAGCGGGGTGGTTATACATTAGCAATAAAAATTTTTGATGCTGAGGATTAAAGCAACTCTAGCAGACCCCCTAAAATTGGCTGAGAACTAAAAAGAAAATTGATTCTGAAGAATGCATTACTAATATTCTTGACACGGTAAAACAGCTCTCACGAAATTAGTCTAAACTACTCCCTCCGTTCCTAAATATTTGTCTTTTTAGAGATTTTAAATGGACTACCACATACGGATGTATATAGACATATTTTAGAGTGTAGATTCACTCATTTTGCTCCATATGTAGTCACTTGTTGAAATCTCTAGAAAGACAAATATTTCGGAACGGATGGAGAATAAAGAAGACGGAAATAAGTCAAACTGCCTTACGACAAAGTTCGGTGTAGAGCTCATTTCCAACCATAATATTGCTTCGTGCTAGGGATACAAGTTGTAAGAGGATCTATAGTCGGGCGCCTCAAACTTGCCTCAAACACTCAAGCTGACCGACACCCTACATATCTAGCTCAAATGTAGAGCGGATATGGGAAGGCCTGAGCGCGTCCATCATGTCGGGCCCGACAGCCCGAACCCATCACAAATTACACCAAATTCACCTCCCGACCGATCGATTCCAACTGCTCCTCTCCTCTCTTCTTCCTCCTCCGCGTTGGCCTTCTTGTAGCTTCGCCGCCAACCTTGCTCTGGTGCCGTTCAGAGCCTCCGCGCCGCTAACACCAACACTGCAGTCCTCTCTTCCGTGCTCCTCGCCGCGGACATCCTTGCCGGCCCGGACCTCACCGTTTAACTACACTGTCAACGGCCGCGACTACAACATGGGTTACTATTTTGCCGACGGTATTTATCCTCAATGGGTGACGTTTGTGAAGACCATATCCGAATCATAAGGCAACAAACAAAGCCACTTTGCATCAGGAAGTATCTAAGAAGGATGTGGAGAGGGCATTCAAAGTGCTTCAAACTCGTTGGAGAATTGTTCGAGAAGCTGCAATGATGTGAGAATCAAAAACTTTGTGGCAGTTGATGACATGTTATGTTATTTTGCACAATATGATTGTCGAGGACGAGGGTGATGGAGCAGACCAAACCAAAGATTTCGAAGCGCCTGGAAAACAAGTCCAAATCCCAGAAAATGAAGATGCAATGAACTTATGAACTTTCTGCAGATGCATCAGAATCGAGATCATCAGGTGCACGCACAGCTACTCAGTGATCTTGTGAAGCACATGTGGACCCACAATGAAAACTTAAGAGCTATGTTTGAGTAGGACACTTAAAATTAATTTTATGTATATTTTCGCTATCAACATTTGTTATTTACTTGCGACATTGATGTTTATGATGAACATTCATGGATATGCATGTATCAAAGAGTTCAGATTTGAGGTATGTGGCTGCCAGGTACTACATATGAGAGGCGGACCGGCTGCGTCCGGGGGTGCGCCCGGACGCGTCCGCTGACCTATAAGGAACCGGATTTATCATGTCCGGCTATAGATGCTCTAAATTATTCAGTTCCAGTGAAACCAACACTAAAGTTGTGGCACGCTTCCCTAATATAGACATGGTACAGTAAGATGCACTCATATGTTTAATTTAAACTTTTGATCCATATTAATTAATATGGATCTAGTGAGTAATGAAAGCTTCGGTTCTAGCTAGTTTGAAATTTCTTTTGCTTCTTACCTTTGTTGTGTGTGGAATGCTTGAAACTTCAGTGGACCTCAGGTTAACTGCCTGCAAGGAGCATTGCCAATAAAGAAATAATGAAATTTAGTAAAAGTTGTATTGAATGAATGACACTTACTCAATGGTTTCTGCTTGTGAGTTCTACTAGGTTGTACGGGCCAATCAAACGAGGTATGGACGTATGGTTACCTGGAGAGCACTGCAGATGTAATTGATCTCGGAGGTGAAATTGAGCTTCTGCCTGGTCATGATCAACTCAATGACACCCAAGCACGAGGAGTTCCCCTTCTCGAACACCGGCAGCCCCATCGTCCCATGGACGTCCAAATATTGCGCATGATTCACCATAGGATACTCATAGCTGGTGAAGTACCGAATGTCTGGAGACCACTCGGGGAGCTTGCCGATGAAGACCCTCCCTGGGAGCCCCACAGGTGAGCCCTCCGACGCAACATCTGCAGAGAACTGGAAACGCGTCGATACGTTCCTGAAGTGGACGAGCCTCTCCGAGCTCCTGTCGAGGGTGAATGGCTGCCCGCTCGTCGTCAGCACCAACTGACCGTCAGAACTCTTGACCGGCACCCATACCTGGACAAGCACATGTTTGTCTCTTTGCAACTCCGCAATGTAGAATAGTGCTTGCGTAAGCCGTTCCCGGACGGAGGCCGTGGTGGATTTGGCATTCGAGGGGAAGATGGAGGGAGTAGCGAAGAAGTTGGGAGATCTTGAAGTGTTGGGGGCCACTTCAAGCCAGGGGTTGTCGCCGGATAGAGAGAGCGGCTGCTCCAAGTCGACGGCCGCACCTTGGGACAAGGTGGCGCGCGGCACGGGGATACAGCTGGGCTGGATCAAGCAAGTGTTTGTACCTGCAGGCGTCCCCCATTTGGTTGTGGCATCTAAGAGGAAGGTGGAGGGAGAAGCAAAGGAACTGGATGAGATTGAATAGTTAGCCGCCAATTCAGGCCAGGGGTTGTGGCCGGGAGGAAGCAGCTGCTCCAGAAGATCTGAATCCAAACCAACCATCGCACCTTTGGACGGCATGGTGTGTGCGGCCACACCGGCACCGGGTTGACTCGAGCAAGTGTTTGGTTGACTCAACAAGGTGTTTGTGGCGTCTGAGGGAACTGTGGAAGGAGAAGCAAAGAAGTTGGGGGAGCTTGACGCATCGATCGCCAATTCAGGGCACGAGATGTCCCCGCGGAGAAGCAGCTGGTCCAGGCCGTCCCAGTCGATGTCTGGGCTCTCCGGCGACGCCATGAACCTCACAGTCACAGAGATGCCGGGCTGGAACTGGAAGCCTCCCTCCTCCATTCAGGCGAAGAAGTTTCCTTGAGAATCTGATGAGGCAATTTTGCAGTGTTAGAAATAGAGAACACTCGAGCACAACACAAATAACGATCTTTGGAGGAGAGAACGGATCAAATTCTGCACAAGGAATGGGAAGGAGTACCTCACAATTACTAGCATTCGTAGCTTTTTTCCACGAAAAGGATTCTCCAGGTACGATGTCTGCTGAATTCGGCTTGGAGTGGGTCAGTGACAGCCGGAGAAGTAGATCAGCTCCTCTGTAGGTTCGTGGTGGTTACTGGTGAGGACGCGCTCTACATATATGAGCTCGTAATTCGGGTTCTTAGGGTTGAACCCGATTTCCTTCCATATCTTAAGTGGAGGGACAAGCAAGTCACATACGCGTCCTTAAAGAAAAATGCTGCTACTTGCATACGAATGGAGGTAAAATTGATTACTCGGGGGGTATATGCTTGTCCTGGCATGGTTTGACTTTAGGTGAGAGGTTTCGGGTTCTGTTTTTGTGTTGTTTAAACACAGCTTAATTATGGGGCCACTACGGCGTATTTTATTGGAAGTCTTTCGCTGCTCTCCCACGGGGGTAACCACCGCCAAATCTACATCAACTAGTAGAACGCTCATGTGTTGCAACGAGCTGTCTTGGCGACTTCTTTTTTTAATCTTTAAGTGCTCTCCTTTTCTTCCCTTCATTCTTCCCCCAAATAAAAGTGTTTCTTGGAATGATACGCGAATGAAAAAAATTACAATCATACTAAAATATCAAGAGATAAAAGCATATTTATCAAAGAATATTTCTGCAACATATTCGACATGAAAGTTATGGTGCCTGACAAATTGGAAACAAACTTATGGTGACTTACCACCAAATCTCATTAATATTTTAGAACGTAGTTATCCTATCGACGTGTACATGCAAGATCGCTCTCCCCCTTCCTCCCTACCTCAATCTCTCCTCTCTCTCCCCCTCCATCACTCTTTTTCAATCTTTATAGTAAGCACCTCCGCCTTATACCCAAGGGCGATGTGCCTGCCACCATCCCATTGCTCGTTTCGCTTCTTCCTCATCACGCATCACATAGTCCTCACGAGACAACAACGAAGCATTCACTCGTTAAGCCAATATGGAGTGCATTATCAAGCGTAGCTTTCCTATTGATATAAACCAGAGGAACATGATATAGATGCCATTTATAGGATCCAAATGATACAATAATTGTCACAAATTAGTTGTTTGCGTTAATATTCTTTCATGAAACATACTCCCTGCATCCGGAATTATTGTCGGAGAAATGGATGTATTTAGATATATTTTAGTTCTAGATACATCCATCTTTGTCCATTTCTGCGACAAGAATTTCCAAATGGAGGGTACAAAATACTTTGCATCTTTGCAACTCAATAGCTAATTAGCCCACGGCACCTATGGATCTTAGGCTTGATTCATCTGAAGACTGCATCCAAACTCACATGCTTGTTAAAAAAATAGAATTGAGCTCCCATAGATTAGAAGTGACTCTAAATGTTGGGATCATCATGGAATTTTTCTTTTTACGTCGGCTGGAAAGGGAGACGGCCATATGAGATTGAAGAGTTCTTGAGATCAATAAGCTGCCTGATTAAATCCACCTTAGCAGCTAACAAACGCACCCAAGAAACTTGAAATATATTTCTTTGCCACAGGGCAAGATAATGGACTCGGGCTCACTCGAAAAGCTGGCATGCGTGCTGATTGTGGAGCCTCTGCATTGCAATTAGAAATACGCATCATCTAACAAAAAGATAAGAAATCATAGTCCTATTAAGCAATGTCAAAATTAATTCTAAAATAAATATAACTGAGAAAGGGATAAAATAAACACGGATTGTTCTAATTATACCACATTGTGTATGACAATGCGAAATAAGCTATTTGATCTATCACTGATTGATCGGATGAAAAGAGCCTCTCTCACTACCATATCAAATACTCCATCCATCCCGAATTACTTGTCACCGAAATTGGAAACAAACCAAAGGGTAGCAGGAAAATCTACAGAATTGTAACCAGATAATTCGTTGTGCACGTCCGATATAAATGAAAGTGATGTACTGTGACCTTTTCTATGGATATGCTTATGGTTCCAAAAAAATTGTAATGACAGATTATATGTCAATACAATGTTGCATACTTACATTATCATGACACATTCTGGTTGTCAGATGTATGAGTAAAAGAAATTTAATGATTTATATCTTAAATTATACAGTATTCAGTGCCATTAGAGAACATCACACGTCACAGACTAAGTGTAAGTGCATATGGTGCGCCTTAGTGATTTTAGTGTATTGAAGACTTATAGGTTAAGGGACTAATATGTTTGTGAGTGTACACATGCTCTATAAGTCGATGAGGAGTTTAATATTTAGAGTGAAAGTCGACCCCTAAAAATGTATGTCTTCAGCTGAAGACTTTGGTTCTCCTGAAGATTTTGAAAGTGAAGAAATTGGTGTGACCTTAAAGACTTGGATATTCATGCGAGGATTATGAAGCGTGAAGATTTTTGTTTTCGTAGTTTCATTTTCTCTTTCTTGAGTCATAGGAAACACCATACTGTTAAAGGGGGTTGAGGTAATACTAAGGAAACTGATTTCCAAGTGATGCTCATCTCAAAATCCTACACCTACCCAATCCTTTCGAGTGAAGCCATTGGAAATCTCATATCAGTTCAGTCAATTTCTTCAGTGACAAAGACGCAGATCTTCTGATCTCTGAGGAATGTTTTTTGACTGAGGAGTTAGGGATTCGCCAGTGCGGATTGCCTACACAGTGAGGAACATTATAACCCTGAGGAATTTGATACCTCAAATCCGACAGCTGCTGTGCTTTGCGCCAGCTGTCCAAAAATATCCCACCACCTAACGGTCATATCATTGAAGGACATTTATGTCTTATCATGTCGGGCTGCTTCCTAGGCTATAAATAGCCGCCCCCTTCAAGCACTAGTTGGTTGGCTGCTCCACGAGAAACTGACACTTGTCATTTGAGAGCATCCCATCCTCCGAGGACTTTGAGCAAAAATCATCAAGTGAGGAAAGCCCAAATCCCAAATCGAAACACCTACAAACCCAAAGTGATTGAGCATCATTGAAGAGATTGTTCCTGTGTGGAACCGATGCTTCTTACCTTTCAGGACCTTGTATCCTCCAGACGGTTAGGCATCATGGTCTGAGCATCCAAGAGGAATTATGGATCGCCGAGTGACCAAGTCTGTGAAGGTTCGGAAGTCATCTGTGAAGACTTACCACGAGTGATTGAGCGAGGTCTGTGTGACTTTAGCTCAAGGAGAATACGGTGAGGACTGTGTGTCCGGGACTGTGTGTACTCGAGTTTAAATACTCAGCCGCTCCAACCAGACATACAACTGTCACAGCAGTTGGAACTGGTCTACCAAATCATTATCTTCACCAAGCCAACTGGTTCTGTTGGGGGTATAACTATTAGTATGACCCGCCCAAGAGGGGCCGGGTTATACCTACAAGTACTCTTGAAGCCCAAAACCAAGGTTGAAGATGGCAGTTCAGGTAAGGGCCCAAAAGCCCAGAGGCGACATAGGGCCCGTAGAGATAAACCGCCATATGTGCATGACTTGTATTGTAAGGCAAGAATAGTTAGAGACCGGGCCGGACACTGTTTATGAGCCGTCCGGGACTTTGTGAGCCACTGGGCGTCAACCTTTGTATATAAAGGGACGACCCGGTGGCAGTTCAGGGAAAATAATATCAGATCGAGAGCTAGGTCAAGCGATTCCGCTCCCTAGTAATCGAGTCAGAAGCAATCCCACTCAAAACTGGATCGTAGGCTTTTACCTTCATCATAAGGGGCCGAACCAGTATAAACCCCGTGTCCTTTGTCCCGATTAACCCCTTTAAGCTTCCTAGTTGCGATTGCTCCACGACTAAGTCCTTTCACTAGGACATCTGACGTGACAATTCCATGAAAGTTGGCGCCCACCATGGGGCTAGCGCATAGTGGATTTGAGTTCTTGAAGGGCATCTTCGAAGGGCTCAAGGGATACGCTGTGGGACGGATGACCAAGAGTCGTCGCGGCAAGCTCTACATCAACGATGCAGGCTGGGGCCCCGACACCGGCTCAATTGAGTACGAGCACCGGGTCCCCTTCGGCGGAATCCACGTATTCATCGGCAAGATCGGTGAGCCGGGCCCTGAGTCGGACAACTGCACCGACCTCGTCGAGACGGCTCAGCATGCGAGACCCGCCCGGCTCTGCCTACCGTGAAGCGTGCCTTCGTAGGATGCATCCACGGAGGACTTTCGGAAGGATCTGCATCTGGCGGTGAGGCGGGCATCTATTCTGATGGAGAGTCATCCACAGGCGAGACGGATTCGTTGTATCAACTGCAAGACGGCGGGCTTGGGGGCTGTTCCGATGGCAGCAGTATTCCGGATCTCCTCGAGCCGCCGAGCAGGGTTGGGATCTTCATGGCTGGCGCGCAACCTAATCAAGACTCCACAACTGCGGCATCAATAACCTCTGGGTCAGCAGCAGCCGGGGCAGGAGGCCCTGTGCACTCGCCGGCTCAGGTGTTGATAGATCTCACGGATAAGATGACCGCTCTGTTAACCGCCACGGTCAACCGGGCGGATCAAGCTCAACATGATGCGGAAGTGGCGCAGTTAAACTAGATATAGTGCAGGCTAAGGAAGATCTGGCAGCAAAAGATGTCAGGATGACCGTAGAGCGGGCGGCTCTGGACGCTCAGGCTCAGCAAATTCAGGCGTAGACTTTCCGTCTCACGATGGATCAGAACGCGTCCAATGAGGTCATGAGGAGAAGATACCAGAAGACTCAGTCTTGGCTCCCTCCAGTTTATGATCCTTGAAAACTCTTCAATACACCTGGTGTAGGGCCCAGTAACCCGCCGGAGATAGACCGGGTTGCGGCACCCGGGGTTGGAACGCCGGTTCAACCACAGGTGATGGGGCCTCCCCGTATGAATACCGC